TCAGCACGGGAAGGTGGCACGTGGCATCATTCTGGCATTTCAAACTGGGATGCTGACGTGGCATACTTTGGGCCATTCAGCACGGGAAGGTGGCATGCCGACCTTCCTGGAATTTGGATAAGTAAGCTGACGTGGCAACGTAGCAATGTGAAAACAGGCACGCTGATGACATGCGGATGTGAAAACATGCAAGCTGACGTGGCAAGCAATGTGAAAACAGGCAAGCTGATAACATGGTGACTTGAATAGAGGCCAACTGACATGGCAACATGGCAATGTGAAAACAGGCGAGGTGATGACATGCCCATGTGAAGACAGGCAAGCTGACGTGGCAACGTATGAATGTGAAAACAGGCAGGCTGACGACATGGGGGTGTGAAAACAGGGAAGCTGACCACGTGGCTAAGTTAAAACAGGCACCTGGACATGGCGACACGCCAAGTACTGTCACGGCAGCGATGCTGCTGATGTTGTAAGCACCGTGTGGACCAGATCCGACGATGGCTCTTGCTGCACCTTCAGGGGACATTCTCGATGCATTTGGACGCTTTTTCTGGACTCCATACATAAAAAATTGTTAGAGTCGTCCAAACGCACATGGTCCAGAAAGCGTCCACATTCATGTAGAGTGCTGTGTAGCGGAGCTCTGCAATCTAGACTGCGAACTCTGTGTGGACCAGATCTGACAATGGCCCTTACACTCTCGATGCATTTGGACACTTTGTGGACTCCATACAGTAAAAATTGTTCGAGTCGTCCAAACGCATCTGGTCCAGAAAGCGTCCAAATTCATGTGGAGTGCTGTGTAGCGGAGCTCTGCAATCTAGACTGCAAACTCCGTGTGGACCAGATCTGAGAATGGCCCTTACACTTCATGCATTTGGACGCTTTCTGGACTCCATACATAAAAAAAGTGTTGGAGTCTTCCAAACGAATCTGGTCCAGAAAGAGTCCCAAGTTCATGTAGAGTGCTGTGTAGCGGAGCGAAGCCGAATACCTCTGCAATCTAGACCGCAAAGCGGATGTGGCACCGCAATTAGCTTCCAGGGAAGCTGACGTGGCAGTGCAATCATCCAAATGCAGCTGTTCCACTAAATGCCATAAAGGGAAAAAAAATGTCGTTGCTGGTAGACGGCGTTTACCTATCTGCTGGTTGTTATTTCTGGTGGAATCACCTGGACTGTTTTACAGGCACGTGCATGTGCCCTTGGCACCATTTTATGCCCTGGACTGAGCAGCACTGCACTCTGCGGCAAAACGCTTGGAATTTTGAGTGCTTACCTTCTCGTCTTTTTTGTTGCTTGCTTTTAATATTCCTCTTTTGTGTGATATAATTCACTGACATAATCTGTCTGCTGTCCTATTCTCCTTGTGTGTGTGTGCACTTCTGTGTGTCTGCGCCTCTCCATCTTTCCTTCTGTGTGTGTGCATGTGAGTGTGCATGTTCACGTGTGTGTGTGTGTGTGTGTGTGTGTGTGTGTGGGTGTGTGTGTCTGTGTGTGTCTGTGGTTGTGTCTGTGTGTGCGTGTGTATGTGCGTGGGTGTGTGTCTGGTGTGTGTGTGTGTGTGTGTGTGCGTGGGTGTGTGTCTGGTGTGTGTGTGTGTGTTTGTGTGCGTGAGTGCATGTGCCTCTCCGTCTCTCGCTGTGTGTGTGGTCGTGTGTGTGTTGTCCTATGTGATTTGTTTCGATAGGGTTAGCGTTGTGTAACACGTTCGGATAAGTCTGTGCAGCGTTCTTCCAGAAGGCTTATATATACATATTATATTCGTATTATATATATATATATTCTATTTGACGATATATATATATATACAGGATATGTCTGTTTGACGATATATATGTATACAGGATAGGTACTTGCAAAGGTTTCTTGGAGTTGAAGACGGAGCGGATTGATTGATCTGCCTGCACATCTATTCCAATCTGGAGTTTTGGCGATCACGAGAGAGAGAGAGAGAGGCCGCTCGAGGGGAGAAGTGGCCTCGTAATAATCATCAGTGGCAAGCTGTTCATTGGAGGAGAGAGAGAGAGAGAGAGAGGCAAAATGATGAAATCATTGAGAGCGCTGGTTTCGAAAAATAAGCGGCGGTACAAGCAAAATGGATTTGACCTGGATCTTAGCTGTATCCATTCCCCTTTAATTCTGTTTTTTTCTTTTTTTTTGTAATTTGTTGACTTCCTGAGTACGGACGCCGCCCGGCCGGGCGGGGCCCGGGCAGGTCGCCCGGGCAAACCGGGCGGGCCAGAAAACAGGCCAGAATTTTTTTTATTTTTTTTTTGAGGGCGGGGTCGTGCTGTGCTCGGCGAGGGGACCCCGAATCTGCAATAAAATTTTAGTTTG